AAGATATAATGCTGCTCCATCTTTTACAGCAGCCATCTTATGCATGTTCCTCATTCAATCTGGTCATGTCTGCCTTTGGATTTTTAGGAACTATTAATTTCTGATCCACCAAGACCATTCCTTTTTATTTTCCAAGGATATTATAGATTAAAAATCATTCATTTCTTGTAATTTGGGTAGGAGAGGAAAACTGAAACATGTGCTTAGTCTGACATCTTAAACCAATTTGTTACTTTTTTCTTCTTTTGCTCTCTCTCCTTGTGATTTGGTGACTATCTTTAGTGTTTTGTTTGGATTTTTTTTCTCTTTTTGTGTGTGTGTATCTATTATAAATTTTTGGTTTGTGGTTACCATGAGGTGTATATACAGCAATCTTTATACATATTTGATTATTTTATTTTATTTATTTATTTTTTTTAACATCTTTATTGGGGTATAATTGCTTTACAATGGTGTGTTAGTTTCTGCTTTATAACAGAGTGAGTCAGTTATACATATATATATGTTCCCATATCTCTTCCCTCTTTGTCTCCCTCCCTCCCACCCTCCCTATCCCACCCCTCCAGACAGCCACAAAGAACCGAGCCGGTTTCCCTGTGCCATGCGGCTGCTTCCCACTGGCTATCTACCTTACGTTTGTTAGTATATATATGTCCATGTCTCTCTCTCGCCCTAACACACCTCACCCTTCCCCCTCCCCATATCCTCAAGTCTGTTCTCCAGTAGGTCTCTGTCTTTATTCCTGTTTTACCCCTAGGTTCTTCATAACATTTTTTTTTCTTAAATTCCATATATATGTGTTAGCATACGGTATTTGTCCTTCTCTTTCTGACTTACTTCACTCTGTATGACAGACTCTAGATCTATCCACCTCATTACAAATAGCTCAATTTCGTTTCTTTTTATGGCTGAGTAATATTCCATTGTATATATGTGCCACATCTTCTTTATCCATTCATCCGACGACGGGCACTTAGGTTGTTTCCATCTCCGGGCTATTGTAAATAGAGCTGCAATGAACATTTTGGTACATGACTCTTTCTGAATTCTGGTTTCCTCAGGGTATATACCTAGTAGTGGGATTGCTGGGTCATATGGTAGTTCTATTTGTAGTTTTTTAAGGAACCTCCATACTGTTCTCCATAGTGGCTGAACCAATTCACATTCCCACCAGCAGTGCAAGAGTGTTCCCTTTTCTCCACACCCTCTCCAGCATTTATTGTTTCTAGATTTTTTGATGATGGCCATTCTGACTGGTGTGAGATGATATCTCATTGTAGTTTTGATTTGCATTTCTCTAATGATTAATGATGTTGAGCATTCTTTCATGTGTTTGTTGGCAGTCTGTATATCTTCTTTGGAGAAATGTCTATTTAGGTCTTCTGCCCATTTTTGGATTGGGTTGTTCCTAATCTCTTGTTTGAATGCATTTTAACAACCCTGCATTTTTACTCCCCCCAAGTTTGTTTTTGACATCATAGTTTACACCTTTCGTTTCGTGCATCTCTTAACTACTTATTGTTGATATAGATGATTTTACTACTTTTGTCTTTTAAACTTCCTACTAGCTTTATAAGTGGTTGATGTGCTATCTTCACTGTATATTTGCCTTTACCGATGAGATTTTCCTCCTTTTGTAATTTTCATATTTCTAGTTTCTAGGCCTTTTCTTTTCCACTTAGTGAAGTCCCTTTAACATTTCTTGTAAACCCAGTTTCTTTCAGCTTTTGCTTGTCTATAAAACTCTTGATCTTTTCTTTGAATCTGAATGATAGCCTTGAGTAGATTATTCTTTTTCCTTTTATCATTTTAAAAATATCATGCCACTCCCTTTTGGTGTGCAGAGTTTCTGCTGAAAAGGCAGCTGATGGTCTTATAGGAGTTACCTTGTTACACTGTTGACTGATACATATTACATCTCCCCATCATACACCAACACTCCACCTCCTGCAGAAAGAAGCCCCAACATCTCACAGAATTTAGGCAAGTAGATTCTCATTACTGAATTGCTTCTATTTGCTAGAGCAGGAGACTTGTTCAGATTTCTCAGAAACAGATGTTAATTGATCCAGGGTGTAAACTCCAGAGGAGGGGATGGTTAGTAAATGAATAATCTGAACTGTTTAATGTTAAATATCTTTCCCAAATAATCAAGAATTAGGGCAGAGCTGTCTCAGGCTTAGGACTCAGGAGAACTCAGCTTGTAGTAAATCTTATTTACTTCAGAAAAATCAAAGAATCATAGAACTAGTTGAAAAAAAAAAACACTTGGGTATTTGGATAAAAACTCAAGTGATATTTAAACATATATGTTCAAATATGTAGCTCTCAGGACTGTATTATTTTTGACTACCATAAAATATACTTTAAAAAAAAATCTCTTGAATTTCATCACCTATTGAACAGAAGGAAGTTGCAAAGGCAAGTTATTAATCAATCAAGTATGAAATTGGCAGAAAGGGTGGATATATGTATAACTGATTCACTTTGCTGTACAGCAGAAACTAACATAGCATTATAAATCAATATTCGAATAAAAATTAATTTAAAAAAGAAATTAGCAGAAGAGGAGATATCTAATTATTAATTCCATCACTGATCAACTATTCTTCCCTGAAAAAATATAAACTCTGATACAAAGAAAGAGCAAATTTTAAGCTTTTAAAAATGTATTTAAATTTTGGCCCTGGGAGATATTAGCAATTCTAAATGACTTACTTTTGGATGGTCTGGATCAATTTCTATCATGATGTGTTCCAGAGCTTTATTTTCAAATAGATCCCTGGGAATGATCCTGAATATAAAAATAAACCAATAAAATTCCCAGCTAGCTTCCAAAAATTAAACCAGAGAGTAACTTGGGTCCTTTCTCTGAATCAGATTTAATGCCCTTATTTCTTTCCAGAACCCTCACATTCCCACTGTGTGCCTCTGTCTTCCACTGAGGTCCCACCTGGCTTTCTCCACCATCAAATCTTGGATGTTTTATTTAATATTCCACTCTGAGTGCTCATCAACAATAAGTGAATTTATTACATCTCTCTGGTAACACTTCAAACTTAACAGCTACCTTCAATACCTCATGTTGAACAATGTGAGAATTTGCATTGAGAACCAGTATTTCTAAGTCTCCACCCTGACCCAAACCATTGATAAAATGCACATAGCGGTTAGAACCTTACAATACAGTGTCATTTCCTGAACCACCAGCTCCAGCAATTGTTCCAGCTTCCCACTCTCTTGGTTTCCTCTACATATTAATAGAATTAACTGACATGACCCAAAGATTATCACCTGCCCTCATTAAGCGTTTCAGGAGAAAAAGCACCTACTATTCTTTTAGTGTCTGTTTCTGGAAGTTCTGATGTGAGGCAGCCATGACTAAAGGTAACATTTAGAGTGCTCTGTATCCTTGCACAGTAGAAAGGACTTAGGCAGACCTGAATCTAGGCTCTGGCACCTGCCAGCTTTGTGGCTCTCCTACATACTAAGCCTTGGTTTCCTCACCTAGAAAAGGCAGATAATATTATGTACCTCAGAGGGATCTTGTGAGAATTAGAAATAGAATACGTGAAGCTCTTAGCACAGTGTCTGGCCTCTAATAGGTGTTTAAGAAATGTTCAAGGGAATTCCCTGGAGGACCCACGTGGTTAGGACTTGGTGCTTTCACTGCTGTGGCCTGGGTTCAATCCCTGGCTGGGGAACTAAGATCCTGCAAGCCACGTGGTACAGCCAAAAAAAAAAAAAAGGAATGCTCAATACTATTTGTTATTTACCACGTTCTATACTTTGGAAATTTGTACAAGTATCAGATAAGACCAGTTGTTAAACTTTGTATGAACACCTTGATATAAGAAATGGAAATATATTCAATTCAGTGAAAAGAAAATCTGCACAAAAAGGAAAAAGTGGTATTTCTAATGATATGTACATATTTCTTTGCATTTTATTTTTCTAATAGTACAGTACTATCAAAATACAAACTGATGGGGTCAGTCTCCAGACACTTCCTCTCTTTCTGGTGATTGTTTCTTCAGGTGAGCTAATTTTAACCTGCAACGCAAATCATGGGGCTTCTTTTGGGTACCACCTCTGCCCTCAGTTGCTTCTGATATCACTTCCCTTTTTGTTTGCTTCTTTTTCATCCCAAATCCTGACCCTGAATCCTAATTTCATCCTGTTTTATATTCCTTGACATATTAGCTTAGCAGGAAGGGCTCTCAGATCCTTCCCACTGACAGGTGGCTTCCTAGTCTGAACTCTGTTAAAAAACCAGTGCTGTTTCCACATTTACTATAGTTTATACCTGTTCAGAGCTCATGTTCACATCATCTACAACTGCTTCTGAGAGTCCCATCTTCTGAGCGGTCTCTAATATAATTCTCAGATTCTTGACTTATTGCCTGTGGCAATTCTCCTTCAGGTCTAGCTTGACAGTTTTTTGCAAGGATCAGTGAAAAGTAGTTGAGAATTTGGGTTTACCAGGACCTCATTTTGGAGTGCACAGGAATCAGAAATGGAAATTTATTCAATGCACAAGCTGACTTACTGAAAAAAAAAAAAGTTGGGGGGCAGAGGGGAGAGAATTACATTTTATTATTACTAAGCATTTGTATCTCTTCATTTTGATCTTTAGGTATGTGCAAGCAGCTCTTGAAAAGCATGTAAAAATGAACCAGGTTTTTTTAATTTTCAAAAAGCAGTAAAAACATTTATACAGAACATTATGACCTCCTAACGCCATCATTAGGACCCAACACCTGCAGGTTACCAGTGTGGAGTCACCATCAAAAGCTGTTCTGCAAACAGGCAGGCAAACAGCATGAGAGCATTCCCTTGATTACTATACTGTGACAACAATAATAATAATTAAGGGAACCTTCCTTTAGCTGGGTAACCTCGCCTAAATAGGTAAAACAGTTAATCAAAATCTAAACATGCGGTTTTCCAACACCAGTTTAGCAAATACAAAATTAGCTGCAACCAGAACAATTTCTAAGTTATCCCACAATAGTGATTCTTACACTTTGTTTCTTTGCTGTGTGATCCTTATGTATTTTTTCCCATTCATCATCTTCTGTATCCTGGTCAAATGTTTCAGGGTATGCTGGTAATTTGTCTTTGGGGCATTCTTCATAGTAACTCCGAACATATTTTCCCACAAACCACCCTTTGTATTCTTTGGGCATTTTGCACTCCAGGCCATTATAGTGCACGTTGTAGTGATGCATTAACCAGTAGTAGAGGTAGTGGATGTTGTAGTCACATCTCCAAGGGTTATCTCTGAGCCACAAGAGTTTCAAAAAATACAAGTCTTCTAATACTCCATAGTCAAAGTTTTGCAGACTGTTGTTTGATAAATCTAACTCTTCTAAATGTGTGAGTCCTAAAAAAGCAGCTAGAAACAGAAAATATTTATTAAACCAATTGGGTAATTGAGTTAAGTGCACTGTATATTATAAGGACAAATTTAAATTAAAAATAAGAGAGTTAATTCTCTCTATTGAAAAAGGAAAAGATTTCCCTCCCCGCCTTTTTCTCAGAGTTCTTACTTTAGAAAACTTGCAAGTACTTTCTCTTCTCTTTGAAATGTGTATATAACCTTTAGAAGACTAAAGAGGCCTTTTTCAGCTTTATAAGGATCGTCCTTCTTAAGAACCTGGGAGCCATCTCTTTGAAATGGAAACATCAAGGGAGATAACACCTGTCTCCCAGTTTCTGTGTGGGGGGTAGGAGCCTTCTTCCAAGTCACAAAACTACCTCTTGTCATAAAGATATAAGTTTGTTTTCCTCTCAATAAAGCCAATTAGCTAACACAGATGCCAACTCACTTGCGAGTAAGGTTAGAATGAATAATGTTTGACAAACGGTGCTGTCAAGTCTTCTTACTTAAGAACTAGCTATTAATTATCCTGAAAACACGTATGTATTAGGTTCTATCTGCTTGGCTATACAAAGGGTGAGATTTCTTTCTGTCTCTGCAATCTCTTAGCAGATTGCCTGTGATGTACATCACATTCTGGTTTAATGCTTATTCAATAATAAAAGAATCTTCTTTCTCTTTACCATTGTGGAGAGGATTTCTGTGTTGGGTGAAGACTTTGGTTTTAATTATATTTCCCTAACAGTATACATGTCTAAATGCAAAATTCTGAAATATGTTTTTACTCAAAGCTTTCCCCTTGATTAAATTGACTAGAATACAATATTTTATTTGAAAAATCAGTTTTAAGTTAGCTTTCTAAAAATGTACTTTGTGCTCATGTGCATTTTTTAATACTCACTGGAAAGATGCCACAAAAAAGGCATGAATTAGGAAAATATCTCAAATGTAAGACATAGTGCATAAAAAATGAGAAACGTGTTTGGGTGTGATTTGACAGCTCTCTGGGATATAACTCTGAAAATGCCTAGAAAATAGCCGTTTCCCAGTTTCCTTCCCAGGGGGAAGGAATTATATTCTTGTATTGTCCAAAACCAAAAAAATTTTTATCAACATTTTTAAGACATCTGGTTGTATTTTGGCAAGCTATGGTAGCTATCAGCTTTGAATCCATATGTATTTAATTCTGTTGGAGGGTGGATAATTAAAACAAATATTAAACACATAACAAAATAATACAACAAAAAGCTTTTTTTTCCCCCTCTGAGAGTAAAGAAATCTAAACCTAAATTATCCCTACTTCAGTTGATGTAAACTGACCAGGTACTCTAGAATTTACAGGTCAAGGCTGATTTCAAATATTTTGTTTCTGTTTCAAACATTTTCTCATTGCTCTTTTAAAATACTCTCTTCAGAGCATACAGTGCCCTTATTTTGAATTTGAAAAATATGCTCTCAAACTAATACCATTAACTATTTTCATATCATTTGTTCTCAGACAAAACCCTTAATTCCCCCTAAAAGAAGTCTATTTTGGTGCAAAGCAATGACTTTGGTCATTGGGAGAGGGGAGCAGGTGGCTGGGGAGGAGCAAAAGGTCAGCCCTTGCAATGATAGTTCTGAAGACACTGCATTTTAAAAAATTTGCTAACATTTTGTGAGTTAATGATCTCACAATTTTCTTTCTTTCTTTCTTTCTTTCTTTCTTTCTTTTTTTTTTTTTTGCGGTACGCGGGCCTCTCACTGTTGTGGCCTCTCCCGTTGCGGAGCACAGGCTCCAGACGTGCAGGCTCAGCGGCCATGGCTCACGGGCCCAGCCGCTCTCCGGCATGTGGGATCTTCCTGGACCAGTGCACGAACCCGTGTCCCCTGCATCGGCAGGCGGACTCCCAACTACTGTGCCACCAGGGAAGCCCTCTTTTCTTTTTTTTAAAAAAATTATTTTTGGCTCCGTTGGGTCTTTGTTGCTGCATGCGGGCGAGCGGGGGCGGGGGAAATTAGACACTTGCCCAGGGACCCGAGACAGGCATGCCTGTCTTGCAGTTCTTTGGTTTTCATTGAGCAAAAGAGGATCTCCACCTCCAAATTCTTCACTCTGTGGCCTGGCTTTGTGAAGACCGGCTACCAGTGACTGACCTGCACACTAGTACAATGATCGCTTCGTTTGGGAGAAGAGTATCTCTATAGTATTCTTATTCAATGTAAAATGAAAATTGCTTTTGATCTCAAAATTTGAAGATACTCCCAAGTTTACACTGTCTGTATGAGTGTAGCATATTGCTGTTGCTTTCAAAATTTTTTAAAATTATGATTTCTTAATATTTAAAAATGTTATTAATACTAAAATATGCCCCGGTAGCTCTAGAATATTCATTTTCAGTTTTTACTTCTACAATGTTAAAATCCTAATGTTCTGTTAATGGTATTAAATTACCTTTAAGAAAACAAGAAACAATTGTACTCAAAATGTTTATGACATTAACATTGCACTATTAATAGTAGTAATACACATTTTTAAAGACAGAGCTTTTCAAATTATGAACGCACTGCAAAGGCACAAATATTATGTACGTTACAAATCTGATCAACATTGCAGTAATTCTCAGTTCTTTCTAAAATTCAGTGAGTTAACTTACCATGCTCATTTTTGTCATAGGCTTTGCTTAGCAAATGGAGAAGAGATTTGAAGGATGGAAAAGAGAATTGATCTTGATCTAGGATTAGATAAAATCCCTCTGGCTCTAGTTTGAGCACATTTTATCTTAATTCATGAGCACACTAGATTTT